GGTCTTCAAAGCTTGTTCCAAAATGTATTCGTACGACGTGTTCGCCGTCACTCAAGAAATATTCTCTTTGTTCTTGGACACTAATTTGGATGACACGAGGACCGAAATTTCAACCATGACACATGGCAATATATACACCATGGAGCACCTGTGGAAAGTAAGTCACGCAGCTTCCAAGACACTGTAAAAACCCTCTCAATACTCGTTTTAGTATTATGAAGACGTTCTGTGTGACAAACTGTACGGTATAAAAGAGGACAACAACACCATCGCCGAAGAATCGGACGTTATAAATTATCTGAACAAACTGCTGTATCGGCCCCGTTCTAGACAGGTAAACGTTTATTAACAGTAAAACCATACGTCATAATTTTTTTAATGCTGATTTGTGACAGAGCAACAATTACTTCGTGTAGTGTTAAGTCCCTAAGCACTATAAATCCGACAGGATTTGAGAATGCCGTTAGAGGATTAAACTAGCTCTACGGGCTTCTCTAAAATACCCACTCTCTTTTAATGGCTTATATGTTTTGCGCTTTATGATTGCGACAACGTATTAACACTACAATTAAAGACACGACAATACCAGCGAGATCTGATATGATATGCGGTTTGATATAACCCGCATACAAATAATACACACGCGGTATTCTGTCAATATTCATTTGAGGATCCTTATTTTTCTTCTATTAGCTTAGAATCGAAGAAGGACACTGCACTGTTAGAAACAATTTTAAAGGACTGTTCGAAGAATGTTATGTGTCGTATAAGATAAAGTATGAGGATAAGCGGACTTTTGGACCAGGCAACGGGACGCAGTAAGTTAAACTAGTTCAAGAGTATCAATTGATTATTAGGATATAGAACATTCAAAATATACATACTTAGAATTCCATTGAAAATCTTTACATTATTGATTTAGATTAAGATAAATTGACTTTTCTATTACAGCTGGACCTATTCTGACGAAACTGTCACTCAGGGAACATATTATAGTGGAAAACTAGCCTCTTATGGAGCTGGTGGATTTTATTTTGATTTTCCACAAAGCAAAAAGGAATGCTTATCGCTAGTAAAAGAACTTGAGGAAAATAAGTGGTTTAATCGAGGTACCAGGGCCGTTTTTGTCGATTTCGCTGTGTTTAATGGAAATGCCAACACAATATGCGTTGTTAAGTAAGAATATTATTATTATTAATACATACATATGACAATATTATAGATTAATAGTTAAAATCTTGAGGGCTTCATTCGATCTTCTAATGCAGTGATAAACATAGGTGTTTATGTACTTAAATAAATAATATTATACAAATTATTTATAAATTAAAAAGAGTGAGTGAAAAAGAAATTTTATATATTATTTAAAAAATCCCGAGATCCCGAAAAAATATACATAAAACTAATTTTCTTACATAAACAAATTGTATTGTTACTTGGGATAATTATATTGCGTTATTTGGAAAGGCTTTGGGAGCTTTGGACACCTCGTATATTATACTAAGAGGACAGATCCTATTTTAAGGGGTTACGTATAGGCAATTATTTAAATTAATTATATTGCCGAATTCTTAAGGCGCATTGGATAGGCAATTTTTCAATATATCAACATCAAGCTAAACATTTTTAGCTTTTAATATTATTAAAAATCAAAGCAGGAACATCTATTTTAATATTTCTTTTTTTGTTCAACTTTTTATAACCTATTAGAGCCTGTTATTTGTACCTAAACACATATTTATACTTGTAAAAGTATACATACCACGTTCCTCAGAATACCCCGATTTTAGTTTTGAAAAAAACAATTGAACTCATCATAATTCATTACATTTACAAAGCTTCGGTCTTGACAAAATATTGAAATTATTTTTAGTTAATTATCTATTTTTTGAAAATAGCATTTTTCAAAATTTCTTCATAGTTTTTACCTTACAATTAAAAAATATTATATTTCATTTATTTATATTAGTCTATTTCTAGTTTTTAAACTATTGCCGGATACCCATTTTAGAGTACAGTTAAATTAAAAATAAATTTTGTCAACCGAAAATACGCTGTTCTAGGAGAAACAAGCAACTCTGCCTATCTATTTTGGACAGAGGTGATTTTCGATGAATTTTGCAAAAGCTTATAACGTTGCTCAAAAAATATGTACCATAAAGCGCCCAAGACAAAATTTAAATTAACTTAAATTTTAACATTCATAGCTTTACGTCAACTACAAACAAATTAGCACGGTTAATAAAATGGCTAAAAATTAATGGACCACATTAAGTACCTAATTAAGTTTACCTAGGTAAAAATAAAAAAACTAATAAGCAAAATCGCAGAGAATCCTGCGATAAAGTATATATTTTTTTAAAATATATAATAATTAATCAAGTTTGATTTTTTATATTTTTATTATTTTTAAATGTCCCACCTCTTCAAAAAGTAAATGCTAAACATTATATTCTTTGAATGGTTAAAATATTTAAAAACCCCTTTTTGTGATCTTATAATGAGATAATGAAACCAATCTATGGGAGTATATATAATATATTCTCTATCATACTAGAGAAGTAACATGTATATTATTCATAATTTTTTACCATGTAATTTTTATAACATTAACAAAACTGGCGAATTAATGATACAAATTTTTTTTTCATAAAGATTAGTGTTTGAGTTCCCGAAGTCTGGTGGCGTCATACCTTCTTATAATATTCGAACCGCTAAAATACGTGACTATTTCATGGTCGATTCGAAGCTAGACTTGATATGTACAGTAGCTGTTGTCGCGATTACCATATTGTATTACGCCATCGAAGAGTTGTTCGAAGCGGTTTACTTTAAGCTCCGCTATTTCACCATTTTCTGGAACATAATCGACTTAAGCATTGTGACCGTAAGCCGTAGTCTAGCTGATAAGTGATAAATAATTACTTGTCAATAGCATTTGAGTAAATTCTACTTTTAGGATCATAAATTGCTAGTTGCCTCTCATACTAGGTAGTTATTTAGTCATAACAAATTCGCATCGAAGCGTTTATAAGTGATTTTATCACTTTCATTTGTAATAATTCATATAGATCTATGGCCTCTTCTGTTCCAATATGTTCCATCCTCACTATACTGCCTTTTTGTAATTGTCTTTGTATATATAATTACAAAAAAAAATGTTATCGCAATGCCATTTAAATATGATTAACGATATTTAATAATTCAAGGTTTCCAACACCGTTAATCGTAAAGTACCGACATTATATTATATATATATATATATATATATATAGTATATATTTTGACCATCTCATAAATTCGGTTTAAATATTTACAGCTTGTGTTGGCGTGTGCTACAATGATAATGTTGATGGAAATATCGGAGCCACGGTCCAAAATAGAGAATTCTGCGATTTCCGGCCAGGGTCACAAGTTTTTTGAAAGCTTAGTAAACAGGCACGAGAGACTGAATTTATTGATTGCCATATTGGTCTTTGTAGCTTGCATCAAGATCATCAAGTATTTCGATCTGACCAAGTCTATGACGATCATATACTTAAGCATTGACAGAGTAAACGCATTAGTCAAAGTTTCCCTTCTTGTTTTAGATTAAGATATTATGTTTTATAACTTCACTAGACCTCGATACGATAAATTTTACAGAAATAATCTTTAGTTTGGTACCAATTCTGAATGCTGATGTTGGTTAGCATGATTCGTTGGAAAATCATTCGCCATTTCATTATTATTTATTTTCATTGGATATTGCCTATCAATGCGTTACCAATAGGAATTATTACTGTCCAATATTAATTATGCCAATATCGTATTATGCTATATTAAGTCTACAGGTCTTAAAAATAATTTATTTTGCTTATTTTAATCACAGATCTCTTTCATCATATATTCTTATATTTGTTTAACGATCTGTGTCCTAACTCCTAACGTTTCTGGATTTCTAACCAGTGTTGCAGCGCTGTGGCCAGATACTTGGTAGTCATTATGGTCGTTGTGTTTTCGTTCGCTGTACTTGGATTCTGCGCATTCGGTACTCAGGCAAGTATATTCGAAGTCGCACTAAAACTTGACTTTAGATACATCTAACAACATCACACTACCGCCCTAGGTAGAAGGATTCTCCACTATCGGCCACTCGTTGATGTCCGCCATGAGGATATTAGTGAGAGATTTCGATTATCGTTCCATCGAGCACGTTGACCAAACGCTGACCACAATTTTTTTCAACCTGTATACTTGTGTTGTGGTTTTCGTTTTTCTGGCAAGTAAAGACAAATTTGTATTCAACATGACGTGTGACTGTTAACAATAATTAAAGCAAAAAAAAACCATCTAAAATCAGATTATTATTTTTTTTGTTAACCTCCGTTCTTTGTTACGTAGTTTCAATTCGGAGCTGAGAAATTATTGTTTTCACAATGATATGGTTTTATTTTATTTTTTATGTTTGGACCCATGGTATCTTTTAAAACGCTGAATCGATTTCTCCATGTAGCAAAACGTACCTGAAAGATACTTTATTGGGTCACTATTTTAAAAAGTTTACCCCTTCTCCATCAAAATAAATAAACGTCCATTAGTTACTCACAAATTAGTTGAAGTTTGCATAGAATGTGTTGTTGAAATATCTAAATGGTTTTCGGTAACACCTATGACCTATAGAATATGTTTACATATTGCTAACGTTTCGGATGCCTTTTATCTTCCATCTTCAAGGCTGTGTGCGTGCTGGTTGTGATGTTGTACGTTGCGTTGAACTTGCTACCTGTAGACTGCAACGACCGTCTCCGCGGTCGTAGTTTATGTAATATGCCGATAAGTTGTCTACCCCCACTATTATTTTTTGCTGCCACCTTTTTATCTGTCGTTGCCGCCAGCTTCACCTGTCTCCCCCTCTCTGCGGACTCTCCGCTTCCCCTCCCTCCCACCATCAATTTGTAAATACAAATAATTTGTAACTAACTAAAAAGTTTTATTTGTTCCGCGCATTTTATACTTACTACTGTATTATTGACTAATTTATCTTCCAGAACAATTGAATATTATTATTTTTACTTTTTGTAAATTTAAAATTTTTCAACATTGAACATGATTTTTTTGGAAATACATGACTTCTCGTTGCAGACAATGTTAGTGGCAATCGCCTTTCACGCCTACTTTGATGTCAACATTGAAGAACTGATTGCCGATCGTAAACAATATGTTTGGGATAAGGTTTTCACGTGTTTGGGTGGCATTTTTAATCATCTGGGCTTAAATAAATGGGCGAATAAGAAGCCATTAGAGAAGGTACAGGAAAAACCTGGTTACATCAACTATGAAGATGTCTATAAACTATTGAGACGGTAATTATTTATAAAACATGCTTTTTACACAAATACCTAACTCCTAAGTTTTTAGATAACAATACATTTTTTAGGCAATGACAAATTAGTTCAAAAACTTTCGTTGTACAAAAATTAAAAATTAAAAAACTTTAATGAAAAATAGTTTAAATCTTTTAAATCAGAATAAAATCCTAAAGCAAATACAATATAGAAATACACCTATTTTTGTCCAATACAATATTGTGCCATTTATTTTTCAAGAAAATTTACTTTCGACCAACATACACGCTTTTGTTCTCGCTTACTGATTGTTCTAGTGATGTATTACCATGATGATGATATTCATGATAACATTTAAAAAATAAATATACGTACCTAAACAAAACAAAATTAAATACAAATCTTGAAAATTTTGCCCGCTTAGTGACAAATGTTACTTTTAAAATGGTTTGAACGTCAAAATAATTTTTAAAAAAACACGTGTAAATACAAATTATAAGACGATGGGTAACATTATTGCTTTTGTTCTTCAGCTGCAATTTCACAAACGAGGAGACGGAAAATATATTGGAACAACATAACATCGTACCACATGAACCCATTCACGAAAACGATGTTAGAAATATATTCAAAGATCTAATGAAGAAACCCCAATCTCCAGGTAATCATGTACCTTTGGTAGCAGATTAAGTTTAAAATTAATAAAATTTGTTTTGTTTTATCAAAAATAAGACGAGGCTAGTGAAACAGATCCCGATTCGTTAGACATCCAAAGGTAAAGAATAAAGTCACACTAAACAACGTTTGACAGTTTCACTTAAAAAAATATATTGCACAATTCATTTCAGGATAACTAAGCAAATGGATTCCTTGGATAAAAGGTTAGACAGAGCACACGAAGATATTACTGTGGTCATATCGCGTTTATATTTATTGCGTGGCGTACTACCGACAAATTATGCTGAAGATAAAGAAAATCGCCGAACCTGATAAATAAAAAAATACTTTTTAGAAATTTAGCAGGTAATGGCCAGACGCATCGATCTTTTTTCCCTTTTTGTCTTCTTAAGGCTTTCAAAGTATTGAGATCATTAAATGCCTATTATCTTTAATTTCTATGTACATGTACATAGAACTTTAATCTGTTTAAATTAAGATTTATAATTTAGTATAACCGTGAACATCAATATATACTATACATATATATTTTTTGTAAATGTATGCCATTTCAACAAAACAAATTATAATGTTCAATGAAAGTGATTTTCAGAATTCAGGCTAATATTGCGTTAATGTTACCACCAACGAACAACGTGTTATTTTATAATATCGTCTTCGCTCAATAATTTGGTGATGAAGAAATAACATGACTGTGGTTTTGACTTTATTAAATGTAAAATGTTTACATTACACTCCCCTCAGAACTACACTACCCTTCGTGTAAAACATATTTATAGGAGGATCGATAAATAATATTAAGCTTATTATAATACATACAATGCTAAAAACATGTTTATAAACATAGTTAGCGTCTAGTGCATAACGTTTACAAAAATATGTAAACTGGTTTTATAAACATTGTAGTTACAGTCAAATGCATCAATCAGGCGAGAACAACTACACGGATTTTGATGTTGTTTTTACTTTTTTGATAATTAACTGATGGCTTCCCAATTCGAGAATAATAGACTATGCAACAGTTTTTCTAACGATCCCTAAAATAATCTCTTTGTTTAAATTAGAGAATCTTAAATTTCTTTTAAAAATCCGACTTTTAAGCTTCTAAAACGTTTAACCGATTATGTCCAATTTTGCTATTCCATAATACCCCTTTGTCCCTTTGTTAAACAAGTGCAATAATTATTTAACATTTAACTACACGTATACAGAATAAGAAGAGTTTGTGTCATTTTATACAGGTTGATTCCGGGAAAAAAAACAGTCGCACACTATGCAGTTTTTCTTAAGTTTTCAATTCCACAAAAAATTTGATCATTTTCTTGTTTTAATAAATTCCAAAAATAATTGTTCAATTGAATAAATTATTACTAATACGTACAGGATTAATTCGCATTACATTGATTTAATAAAATTGAAAAGTATACATTAAACTTATTAATGCATTCTCTTATTTCTTATGTCTAGAATTATTTTCTTAAAAGCTTTTAAAAATGTATCGGCATTCGCTTTGCTAAAAACCATCGGAGGCTTTAACTTGATCACATTGGCGTCCGGTCCGTCACTACTGAGCAATATTCTCTCTTCGTCTTTCATCCTAAAACATAATTCCAACTGTTACTAATGGCATTTAATTTAAATTAATCATGAGTACACATACATATTGTACTAATTTTTTATAAGTAAACTGTAATATAGTCCAACAAGTTTTAGTCCACATATAACTTAGCACTGTTAATATTATTATCGGTTTAGTTTATATATTCCTCCCCACTCTGATACGTCTTATTGTGAAGTCCATATTAATACTATTGGGAAATATACAATGTATCATGTATAATTGTCAACTAACGGTGACTCTTATTTTTCAATGGTTGGCGATTATAACTTAACAAATACTAAATGGACTTTGCAATCGTCTGGCCTTTAGCCTAATAATTCGTAGCTTATACATACATAAATTACTTTTATGAGATTATAATATTGTATGCAAAATTTTGTACATTTTTTTGTAGTTATTTGTACTTTTTTGTTATACACATAATTTTACGTTTTTCTAAATAGCATAAATTCTGTCATATTTCTAAATAAATATTTAGTTAATTCATCATTACCGGTTGACAATTTCTTTAGCTTCATCAGTGGCCGGCGTTTTGGCTTTCGGATTGTTGATTATTTCAATTCCAATGAACAGTCCTATGCCACGAACGTCCCCGATCATGTCAGGGTAAGCTTCTTGTAACTTTTTTGATTCGGACAACAAATGATCGCCAACGACTCGAGCGTTTTCTATTAGGTTTTCTTTGTCGATAACATCCATTACGGCTAAAGCTATGGCGCATGACACTGGGTTGCCACCATACTGAAAGAAAAAAACCAATTTAACATTTAGGAAAACTTAAAATGACCGAGACCACAGTACAATATCTTTTGCAACCGGCATGTTTTTAATTTTTACAGGTTTATTGTGACTGATTAGTTTAAATGCTACAAATTGTTTAAAATGGTTAGAATTTGTTTTGTTTTATTTTTATAACTAACCGTGTTAAAATATTGAATACCGGTGGCAGCAAAACTTCGAGCAATGGCTTTAGTAGTAACGACAGCTGCTACTGGATGCCCATTGCCCATTGGTTTGCCTACAGTTACTATGTCAGGCACAACATCGGGACCGTCGATTTGGAAAGCCCAGTAGTGTGTACCTACTCTGCCGAACCCAACTTGGACTTCATCAGCGATACATACTCCACCGGTTTCTCGCACGTACCTGACAAAATTAATACATTGGTCATTTGTACATTAATTAGATAATCAGGAAGTGGAATACCTAGAACATCTTTCATGAAGCAAATTATGAAAGACGCCAGAATAAAAACTTATAGAGAGCTTAAAAAATAAGTGACAGGAAAAATTGAGAAAAACATCAATAATTTAACCAATCTTTGAATTGAAAAAAAATACATTAATTACAAACATACGTACGCACATTACAAGAAATGTAAACATTGGTCATTCATACATACATTAATACATTATAGAGATATATAAATCGAAAAAGAGATTTGAACGAAGGGTTAAATGTAAACAGAACAAACTATATTTAACTGAAAAAACTGTACCCTAACATTTCCTATAAATGTATCAAATAGAATTATTTCGGCTGCAACATTCCACGCACAGGAACTGTAATGGTTAATAATTGCAAATTCAATAGCCAATATTAAAAAAAAAAGTAAAATCTATATAAATCACAAATTATGTCATAATATAATAGGACTGTATAGGACTTAACATAATAATAGTTAATAATTAGCAGTTTCCAGTATTATCAATATTATGTAATACTTTGAACATCTATTGAATAGGTATGGACTATTGTGTCAGAAATGTACATATATGTATGAATAATAATTATTATGTACAATTATTATTTACAATTGCTGTAATTTATATAACTGTTATTTATTATAAGCTAAAGAGTATTATACTACATTTCAATATTTTTTTTTATCATTTGTATTTTATAAGATTACACTTTATAAGCGATTGCTACACTATACTAGTGTACTGTCAACAATTATTTTACGTCAGAATGTAAATATAAAGGTCGATATTCTGGTTTTAAATGTGTGTTTAATTTTTATTCACGTTCGATAACACTAATAAAGTCGTTAGGTACTCACTTGTACACATTTTTCAAATAATTTTTAGGCAATATAATTTGTCCTCCACAACTTTGTAAACTTTCCGCATAGAAAGCACACACTTTCTGACCACGTTTTCCAATCACTTGTTCATCGATGATCTTCTTTACTTCCAAAGCGTATAACTCTCCCATGTCTTCATCGGGGTGTTGGTCGGCCCTCAGTTTCCCCCTATAGACATCCGGCACCGGTGTCTAAAATAATTTTAACTATATAGCTAACGTGGTAACATGATACCTATAAATGACAATTACACGTTATGATATCATATCAAGATAGCTATCTGTTTTAATAGAGTCTGTGTTATAACAGTGTATAAATCGTAGAACAATGGCTACGATGGCCACTTAATTTCAATTTAACAATGTGTTAATACCTAGGAGTGAATATATTTTATGAATAACATACTATGTGTACGTAATCCGGTTTTTTTGGTGCTCCGGATAAATTTAGTTTGTAAGGTGAAATGTCAATTGTTGACGTCAGGTGTCCGTGATAAGCGCTGAAAACAAAATACAACAATTTTTTTTCATTCACGAAAACTCGTTTTGTTTTTTGTATTTTTAGTGCATTTTTATTGTTGAATTGAAATTATTTTTTCCCGATTACAAATTCATGAGTTTGCTACACCTACAAACAAAATACATAAACATTTTTAAAACTAATGAATAATTTTACAATTTGCCTAAATTGTTTATTGAATGTAAAATAGTAGTTGTTATAATATATCTAATCACGCAAGCCAACAATAAAATATACCATAGCACCTATAGTAGGTACCTATTTAATGTATTGTAGAAAAAACAGGACTTTTCATTTTTTTTTATCACGTAATAAATCGAAAACTCCACATTATCTCACGAGTCATGACTTCAATATCTGTGATAGTAAACTCACATAGCATTAATGATTAGATATGCAGAAAAACAAACATAAATGAACCATAGTATTTATTATCTATTAGTCTAATATATTATAATGTTTTTTTTTTTATTTCTCTTTGTGTTTTAACAGACAACAAACTACTAGTAATATACACATAATGCAATTAAACGTTTCCTTTAGTATTTAAACGCGTCAACGACAAAAAGGTTAAATGATCTAACAACTTAAGGGGAATCGAAAGCGCCATTTATTAAGGGGCAAAGGATAAGCAATATTTGACAAAAATTTATCAATTAGCCATTTTTTAATATGCCGACGAATTTTAAGGAGAAAAATATTTAGTTTTTCTAGTTATGATACATTTAAAGTTATTTTTCTCCGAGCTATGGCGAAAGTGTAATAAAAAATTACTTTCGTAGAAGTCATTATCTGGCGTATCTATTAGACGGATTTAAATTTTTTTTTAAGTGAAACTTACTATACTTTCTATGGGAGCTGAAGGCCGATTTTTGATTTAGCAAAAAAAAAATCAGCCTTTTAGCCCTCATAGAAAAGATTTTTAACTAAATGACAAAAAAAAATTGTTAAAATCGGTTCGGTAGACAATTCAGAAAACCTTCTTTATTTATAAAAAATTGTTCGCTTTCCGTTCTCCTTAACTAAAAAAATAAATAAATAACAGGTTAAAATATTCGGATAACTCACTGATCGAGTGTTATAATGTCGGTGTTACCGGTATGTTGCCGGCCTAATCTGAGAGCTAAATCGTTCGCTTCCGAGCCAGAGTTGACGAAATAACAAACTGACAAAGATTCAGGCATTTTGGAAACCAATTTTTCAGCACAAAGGACAAGATTGTCGTGTAAAAATCTATTGTTAGTGTTCAAAACTTGCATTTGTTTCACTCCGGCTTGTACCACTTCGGGATGGCAATGTCCAACTTAAAATTAAAAAAAACGACCAGCATTAAAACGTTTATACACAATAGCTATACTATATTATATAGCAATTCTAGTCCTGTAACATTAAATCCTATTAATAATATTTTAATATTAAAATTTATGTACTGAAAAGTGTTTTACATATTTTCCATGTACTCATCAATTTTTGAACTTAAACAAGTAAAAATAAACAATTATTTACTTCAATGAGAACAAAGCGAACGAAATAAACAATTCAATTTATTGTTGAATTGTTCTAATGTTGTAATATCATTAGTACATGCCTACTAGGGTACAATTATTAATAAGTACATTATTGATTTAACAATGATTTTAATCGGTATTTATTAATTGCACCATCGTTTTGTTTGAGTGCTTCATCACTATTCACTACCACTCAAAACAATTTCTATAATCCTGCCACTATGAAAACTTCACCTCCGACCTGTGTGTTGTGTGATTGGTATCTTTAATTTCTAAATGAAATATAGGTACCTAATTTATATACGAACGCATCCTGCCCTCTACATATGCTACAAGTTAATTATAATTTTTCAGTAACACTAGCAAGTCGTGTGCTCAAAACTAAAAATAATATGCGAAGTCATAATTAAGATTACCTTGTCACAAAACTGAATAGACAATTGTATGATGGAGATAGTTCCCCCGAGAATTTTTTTTATGTTAGATTTATGATGTATGTAAAGTAAAAACATAATACTTTTAACCTACCTCGTCTTTATCTTGGTTTTCAAATTGTACCTATCATACGCAATAAGCCACGCGGAAAACCATTTTTTTTAAATATTTTATTGTGATGATAAGTGATAAAGAACTCATAAAATACGGAGGTGAGGAACTGCATGTAGTAATCTACAGATTGTGTCAGCTAATATGGGTTAAAGAACGAATACCGGATAGCTGGAATGAGGCAATCATCATACCATTGCACAAAAAAAGAGACAAGACAAAATGTGACAATTATAGAGGGATATCGCTTTTGAACTCTGCGTACAAAGTCTTCTCTAGAGTACTACTAAATTGCATTGTCCCTTATGCGGAGGATTGCTTAGGTGATTACCAATGCGGCTTCCGAAAAGGCCGTTTAACCACAGAACAACTGTCCATAATAGGTAAAATAATTGAAAAGAGGTATGAATACAGGCAGAATATGTGGCAACTATTCATAAATTTTAAAAAGGCCTACGATAGTATCCATAGAGAGAGTCTCTACAATATTATGTACGAGTTCGGTTTCCCAAAAAAAATAATTGCACTAACTACTAACTAAAATGTGAATGGAAAACACGAAATACAGAGTGAGAACACAAAATGTAACATCAGGAACTTTTACAGTGGAAACCGGGCTGAAGCAGGGGACGCCCTGTCCCCAGTTCTTTTCAATCTTGCCCTAGAGAAGGTAGTAAGGATACTACAGGACAATGAAGGTGGTTTATTAATTGGTCAGAATAAGATACGGCTCCTAGGTTTCGCTGACGATTTAGACATAATATGTGATTCGCTTGCAGACACAGCTAACGCGGCCAGAGTGTTAGAAGAAGTAGCGAGAAAAATAGGTCTTGAAATAAATAATGAGAAAACAAAGATAATGGAACTCATTGAGAGTGGGGAGGACCCCAATGAGATGGAGGACTTAATCTATGAAAAGGTTAGCGATTTTAAATATTTGAGAGCAACGTTAAGTACAAAAAATGACTGGGCAAAGGAAATAAGTATTCGGATAAATAAAGCCCAAAAAGCCTTCTACGCACTGACAAAATTCATAACATCCAAAATGATGTCTAGGAAAACAAAAGTAAGACTGTATGTGGCTATTATAAGACCGACTCTCACGTATGGTTGTGAAGCTTGGACGACGACCAAACAAACAGAGAGAAATCTGAGGACTTTCGAGAACAGAGTATGGAGGAAAATATGTGGACCTATCATCGATGAAACCACGGGGAACTGGCGGAGGAGACATAACAAAGAGTTGTACGATATGTTAGAACTAGCACTAGTAACAAGCTTTATTAAGGGCCAACGGATACAATGGTTAGGCCATATAATGAGAAGAGGAGAGGACGTAGGGAGTTAGAGTAGCATTGGAATGGAAACCACAAGGGAAAAGACCTAGAGGAAGACGGATTGACGTGGTGGAAGAAGATCTAAAAACCCTTGGAGTTGAGGATTGGAGAGAGTACAAGGTCAGTACAAGGTAGAGATAAGTGGCGAAGTGTAGTAATGGCGGCAAAAACTCTTAGAACGTAGACATGCCAGAGGAAGAAGAAGAAGATGATAAGTGATAACCACTGACACACTACCATAGGCCATAGTGACATATGGTACCTATCTACGTTTACTCAAAAATACATCTACCCCCCCCCCCCTCGAACAAAATCATAACTACGTTTATGAGTATTGAAAAAAGGTTCTAAATGGTATAGATTCAGATAGAATAGTTAATAAGGCTAATACAAGTTACGTTCTACCAAAACTTTTGTTTTAAAATAAAAAAAATAATTTCAACAGGCGATGATTATTGTTATGATTTATCATAAAAATCTTCGAGTTAGTATGCGAGAGTAGCGATCAATTTTTTTCCCATTTTAAAATATTTCATTTTAACAAAAAAATCTACCTATCTGCCCTTGCGTCTAGTTATAGCTACCTCATTTAGTTTAGTTCTTATCAAACGTGTTAATAGTTTGACTAATCGAATAATGTTTACTTCCAAACGATATTGACATATTAGTTTATTTTGAACAAATTATGTTAAAATCATAATCATAGGCAATGATCTCTCTGGCCTACTTATAATTTAAGCTCGTTTTACTAGAGAAGATTTATTTTAATTAATGCAAATATTACCCAGTCCAGCAGAGATGCCGACCTCGGCCATCTCGGCAAGGAGAACTACTAAACATATAATCCTGAGACATACCTATTACATAAATATCCGTATTGAATGATTTATTAATTTTATACCTACTTATTAGATCTTAGTTCTAATAAGTATTATTTGTTTATAGTTTATTATAAACGAAACTTTAAAGTACACGTTTACACCTAAAAATGTCTAATAATTAACTCATTTAAGAATCTGGTAGTCCTGACTTACTGAATTGACATATTAAATTGCAATAAATCTGACCAAATATTTTAGGGGCCCTTAATACTCTTCCAAGATAAAATTATATTTAACTCGTCTTATAAAAACCAAAATGCATAAACAAACACTACAATACTCATATGTATGTGACGCAATTAGATACATACTAATAGCTAATAAAACGGAATAATATTTCTGCTTGCTGAAACTCGATCAACATAATATTTCAAGACAACCACATTAATATTTTTTTGTAATAATATCCTTTAAATATTGAAGTAAGCTGTGTCTTATAACCAGCAATGCAAAAAATTCCCATCACGATGACAAAAAGTGCCGTATTAAGTGTTTTATGGTATTATTATTATTATTGATTTTAATAAAATGTATGTACCATTTCGTTAACGGTTAAACCATGTTCGTTTTAAATTAAATGTATAAACCGCAAACTCCAAAAGCTCAGTGTGCTATAAAAGCTAATTTTTTATTTCTGCACACACACCGTTTAAAAATTGACAATCTGAACTCTGTTAAATGGATTAGCAATAATTCGTGTATAATGGCTTTAAATTTAACAAGCTGCTATTCGTCATGGGAATCGTGATTAAAATACATTATAACGCACGCTTATTTGTAATTAATTGGACATTTTTAGCATGAACCGACTACCTAGTTTGTATGAGTCCAAAGCTCGATCAGCAAAATCGTTCTTGATCGTTTAATTAGCGCCAAACAAATAACATATTTATATGGATTATGCGGCTTTACGCTTATCGCGAGTATTGTTGACATTCGCATAATTGCAATATCAGTCAACAGTTTAACACGCAATGGCCCTAATAAATCACTAAGATAACTATAAAATGTTTACAAACCTTTTTTAACGCTATTTTTAAAGAAATCCTCAGGCTCACTGCTCAGACTATATTATCAATTTATACAATATTCATTAATAACGTTAAGTCTCGGTTAGTTGTTGCTAACTGGTTTGCAAAACACATTTTAAAGAAACTGGTTATATTCAATGTCGTTATTGGCTTTGACAACATTCAACGCATACGATTTACATCATAAAAGAAAACACTCAAGACCTCAATCAGCACGACCTTATTTGATAGGAGGGTGGGCAAGTACTCTGTGTTTCCCAGGGCACTACAGGTTAAGTTTAATCTATTAGCTTAAAATGTAGGCCTCTTAATAGGCGAATGAAAAATATATAGATAAGTCATGGATTTTTTAGTGTTGCCCTGGATGTAAAATTAGCAACTACAGCTGTGATTACAAAACAAATATATTATTAATAATAAGAACGATCAAATGTTTGCGCCCAAGCGACTAGTCAGATCTGCTAAATATGCTCTCTCTTTTCGTTTGTACTGAGTATCGACCCCTTATGACTTAAAGTAAGTAATAGAATAGACCTCCATTTCTCAACTTAAATCAGAAATCAGTTCTAAATATAATTCCTTAATAATTTCTTAACAAGTGATAACACCATAAATCGTATTTTGAAGTCGAGATTAAGACAACTTGTAATAAGACTGTACTTGTTATAAGATCAAACTATACTTACTGTAGAACTTGATAAAACCAATTTAGTGATAAGCTTTTTGTTTTCAAATATATACCGAAACCCTAAGTTAGTTATTACATAAAGTATCTAATACCTAACTTAAAACTATGACTCTTAAATAAAATAAAACATTAAATATGTTTATTAACCAAAAGTACAAGCTAGTTGGTTGGCCGACTAATTAACAATAAAACGTAGAAATGCATACCATGTGCCACGTTGTTAATGCAATCCAAGTATTCTTTACCATCTTGATCGTACAAATACTGGCCTTCGCCCTTAACTATTTTCAACGGATTGTGCTTGAAAAACAATTCGCAATTTTGTCTGAAACAATAGAGACAACATTTTTATATAATAATGTATTATAATGTGGGCTGTCTGTCTGATTTCATGTAAATTCGAACACCATGTAAAAATTCATACACATTAATTTAGTACAGTTAGAAAAAATATAAATCGATAAACTTTAGGTAATATTCGAAATATTATAATCCTCTTATTTGTGTGCAATATTAACTACTGTACCTACTGACTTGTTTTATGGTTAGATAGAAAAAAATTAACTGTAAGATAAAGAGGACACTAAACTAAATAAAATGTCAAATTTTAGCAGAATAAATTAAGGAAGCTTCATACATTATTAAAAAAAGATCTTAGATCCCAGGTCTCTAGTTAATTTTTTTTAATTTACCTATACTACTTTACTCGAAGTATAGTAAAATGTATTTAATCCGGTAGATAAAATGTGAACCATGTTGGAATATAGAATGCTAAACATTCAGGTGACTTACACTGTATACATATATATAATATATAACATATTACATACATTATAAATATTATTAACGATTCGGTAGCGTTAGTGTTTCCAAAAATTTCAATTGATTTTATAAAAATGATACTTATAAAAAACAATTTTTAAATTATTTTCTGATTTATCTGAATCCATTAATAATTGCTAATTAGCTATTATTAATTTCACGCCAACAGGTGTCTATAATGTGTTTACTACTGCCCAGTGATAACACTGAACACTGTAATAAATAATGTTTACACAGAGTTGTGTACTATGACAGTGAGTAGCTCGATTGAAATCATACATAGATTATTTATATTGACATTTGACAATGGCAAAATTAACTTACTTACTATAGACAATAGACATAGATTATATTATTATCGTTTTTTTTTATGGAGAACGGGGGATAATAAATTATACGTCATATTTTAACTGCGTTAAAAGTATGGCTTTAGAACACCGCCTTATCATATTATTTCCTATGAAATATAATATAGGCGATGACCTTAGATAGCTTGTTGATTGAACCTACGGGCTACGTTGTAAAAATACAGTCAAAATTAAATGTAATTTAATTATTGTTGTGGGAAACTGTGTTTTCCATGGTTCTTAATACTTATAAGTCTCTTCTTTGTATATGTATTCTCTTGGTACACACATATCATTAATGTTAATAATTAATACTGATTGCAAGTATTCTATATTATAAAGGATTTTAAATTTCATATAACAACCTAGACAATTAGACGACCTAAAACAATGCTGGTACCTACTATTTTAACTATTTTCGGAAAAATATTGAGCGACGTAATTTTAAAAAAGGAAAACAAAATAGCTATATTTTTTCTCCATTTTTAAAGAGAAGAAATAAACCTTTTACCTTATAAGATTATATACTTGATGATATTACATATAGACCCAATGGTTTTAGTGTTACCTTGAATCCAAACAAATAACATCATTGAAAAACAGGAAAAAATACACAAATGTAAAAAAAAAATGTCAATTTCATTATCATTTTTCAAACAATCAATTAACGCTAATTATCAGAATCTATACACCGTTTTCGTCGTAATTGTTCATCTATTAATTTGTTGAACTCAAATTTAAATAAATTAGGGCAAATATTTAAATGCTTAATTAAAAAAAAATATGGTCCGTAAAATCTTTAAGAGTACAAGCTATAAAGTATAAATATTATGATTCAATGTGGACACAACCATTCCATATTTTCATAGGTATTAGGTATATACAAACAGAAAACATTAAACAAAAATGGAAAGTATATATACCAGAGACCTTTGATATTTTATGTACGGACCACAGTCCACAGGTACCTACCTAACCTAACCGTTAATATTTAGTTGAATTAGTAGAACAAAACGTTTAAAATAAAAAAATATACTACATAATATTTAGACAAACAATAGTACCTATATCTTATCAGTCTAGGAGTAGAGAATATAACTCACAAATTGAAGTCGACTATGAGAATAACTTGGGGAACATACAACGGAATTGGAAGGTATTCAACCTTTTATTTTTATAAAAAATGAATATACAACTTTAAATATAGAACTAACCCGATGTACTTATTGCGTAGATCAATGGTCTGGGCCACGGTGAGCTGTTTGTTTTCCATCGTTTTTTATACAAATCTGAACTGTCGATTTCGATATAATGTTATTATTATTATTATCAAACGCTAATGGAAATAAAATTTAATTAACCGAAAAGTGTACATGTGAGCAGGTTCACGAACTACATCCTACTGATATAACTTTTGTAAAGTTTATACAGGTCTGTATCAATTAGAATTAAGTAGGTGGAACAGCAGTTTAAATGACCTTCGCAATTGGTATATTATTATAAGTCTTAACACATGCACTCACACGCCAATTGTGAACATGTAGCTAATAGGTAGAGATATAAAAATACTCTAGGTATCATAAATATATATCACCGCTTTTGAAACGGTTAAATTAATCACAAAATATATTTGTGATTGCAATCGACGTAGTTTTACATTAGGTTTTCTTAGATTATCATTATTATTATTATAATATATATTATAAATAAACCTAATGTAAAACGACGGCAATAATTTAATATAAATTATTATAATATAGTATGGTGTATATTATAAATATAGTAAATAATTAAAAAATATGTATAAATTATGTGTATTACAATAATACAATATACCATTTGAATAACCATAGATAATTATAAACTAGGTGACGAACAAATAATAATATCATAATTGCTAAAAAATCATATAAATTAATATAATATAGAAATAAAATAAAAAAATGTATTACGATATAAATACTGAGTGGCAGATATAATTTTAATTGTTACTTATGTAGGTATAGTAAATAATATTATTATCAAAAATCGAAATTATTTTTTTTGTAATAATATTTGTATTTTAATAATAAATTAGTATAATAATAAAAATAAAATAATTATAATATATAGGTATAATATAATATAATATTTTTACGTGATATGAACAATTTTTAATAAGTGCTATTTAAAATAAATGTTCAAAGGTCGGCTCGCATATTTCACTTAACCATTGAATATTAATAAAATTAGACATACATTATAACAAAATATAAATCACAAAGTTATCTTAAAATTAATAAGGTAAGTTATACAGTTTTAGATCTTTGAGTTCATCCAGACGTCACAAATCATAGTATGTAATGTATTATGTGACATCTGAAATATGAAACACCCAGTTCAACATTGTATTGTGATTTAACAACAGTATGAAGGATTAAAATAAAAAATTTTTTTAATAATTCAAAATTATATTGTACATTGAAAAATATAATGTTGAACGCCTTGATTGAATTGGGTATTATCATCTATGGCATATACTTATAAGTTAAATAAGTTGTGGTCATATCTAAACCTACATAGATGTACTCGTAACAAAAATTGTGTACTCTATTCACTGGTACACAGAATTCGAGTACATGCATACATAGAAAAGTGGCTGCTGGGTACAGTCAGTACTTAATGTATACCCTTACACCACTGCTTCCATCCATTACACAACTGAAATACAAATAAAATGGCCAAATTTACAATAATACTGGCACATATTTTAAATTTTATGAAAAATATATATACTTTTTTTATATAAATTTAAATATTTGAATTACTAAATTTAATAATATAACATATTTTATCATTATGTATGTACTTTAATAATAAATAAACAAAGAACATGGAAGATTCAATTTGATAATTTCCAGTAGAAATATGTATGTATACAATTACAATTACAAAATAACAAACGGAATGTCACATATGGGCTAAGCAACCGTGCATAAGTACTTAATTACCTCAAATTTATTGCGTAATGATAAAGATTTATAAAAAAAAATTCTTTTTTTTATATTTAATTTATCTTTTTGGTGACACACAGTCTATAATAATATTAATTAATATATAATTCAAGTAGCATTTTTATTCTGTTTTTAAATAATTTGAGAACGACTTAGAATAAAATGTATTTATGTTTAACAAATGCTAACTTAATAACAAAAATTCAGAACTAGAATTTTTATAAATTTGTATTTTGATACGAGAAAAAGTTAAATAATATATAAAAATATGTATATAATATACCTATATAAAGAATAACAAATCCAATTAAAAAGATTCAGGCTGTCACATTATTAACTATTATAACTTTAATTTTACTTATTTCCTAGCTACAAGTATAAATGTTATTATATATCGAAAGAATACAATAATATCCCTTTTACTAATGCCTATAAAATATGACAATAATACTATCAGGTCATTTTTACCATGAAATACACATATTTCATGATTATCACTGCACATAATATAATATATATACTTATAAATATATTTTTATTTATTATGGTGTTTAAGTTTTCTACGATTCTTCTTGTATTCGATTGAAGCAATCAGCAAGGAATGTAAACTGTTCAAAACAATATTTATAATAAAATATAAATTTAAATTAATAATTAAGTACAAGCAGTTACTTCAATATTGTCTAGTCTAATAAATTAACACTTACATAAGGAGTATGCAGCTTGACACATTTGGGATTTTTATCTTCACGCTGAAATTGAAAACTAAATAAACCATTTGTTTCATTAACTTCCCAACATTTTATGGTTTTCCAAGTAAACTCAACAACTTGATTCTGTATGCAAAATATTAATAAATTATTAAAAAAAAATAACTTAGCAACAAACAAATTACAGACATCCTCATTTTATATTTGTTAACCAAATAATGGTTAAAAAAAATATTTGATTAACCTCTAGAGTCCCATCTTCAGTACAAGCTATAAGCTTTAAACCTAGATATCCGACTGCAGCCATTACGTGACCCGTCTTTCGTGAGTCACAAGGGCAATGTGGAAATATCACTTCACCGTAACCAGGAAGTTCTTTAGCCATTTTTAAATACTGTAATAACAACAATAATATTATAAGAATAAAATAAAATTCAGCCAAATATATTAGTATTTTAAAATGTCGAAAAGTTTGTTAGTATTTTTTAGTTATGTTTTCGAAAGGTGATTAAATGTTTTAAAAATATTATTTACAAAATTATATTTGAGTATTAGGTTATTTTTTTATAAATTAATAATACCTAAACAAACATTTAACCTTCTACCAAAGTATGATATAAAAACACTAACAAACTAACTATAAATATAAACCATCGTATTTGTATTTTTTATGGTAGTTATAGTTTTTAAATTAAAATATTGCATAAAATTGTTAATAGTTTTTATAAATAGGAGAGTATGGTATCTTCATAACTTGATAATAGGAGCATTAAGTATCAATACAGTTGTACTAAAAATCATTTATCAGAAAAAAATTTCAGTTTGAACTTTAAAATTTTGAAAAGAAAAAACAAAACTAAAAAAATCTTAAATTATTACTAGTATTTTCTGTAAAGTTTCGTTATTTCATTAAAAAATAGAAGAAAATGTTTTTCCCTGTTTTTTTACTCAAACTTGCTTTTGGTTTTAATACATTGTCCGCAGTGACCAAATTAATTCAATATTTAAAAACTAAATTAGCTATAACCCAAAAATAGTTTAATTAAATTAAACATATTAAATGCATTAAGACGTTAACACCCAGTATTACGTCTAATTAAGTTAAGTATATTTGTCCCTTTTTTTTCAATTTCTAAATAACTTTTATAACAAATGATTCATTTTTTATCAGGCTTTACTAATAACCATTATGTAATTAAAAAAACAATTGCTTACATCTAACATTTTGGAAGAATCTTGCAAAGCTTTTAGCTCATATAAACGATCACCTACAAAAATATTATTTCTATCAACTTCATCGATTGTACTCCAAAATATAAATGATGCTGCTAATGTATCTGATTCTAGTAGACGGGCCTCAACTGATGGATTAAAAAGCCATCGTTTTATGCACAAACAACTAGCACTAGCTGTTCTATAATTTTGTACGTATAATTGATGCGCAATTTCATTAGGTTGAATTTTTCTTTCTAAAAGATAAATAATTTTATTTAAACAACTCTACAATAAATAAGAGAAAACAATACGAATTACTAACCAAAATTGTACTCAACAATTTCAAACAAGTAAAAATAAGCTGCTGTGTTTTCAGTCATCTGAATCTTATCAACAACACTATTATAGACACTGTCGGCTGTGGAATTTTTCTTAGTTTTGATAATTACAATTTCTCTGTCTGGTAATATAACTTTTAAATCGACTATTGTGTCATAGTTCTGTAAATATAAAAATAAGTGTAAAAAAAAAATGTATACAAATATTAAAAAAGTTGAATCACTCTCTCTAATTACATAACAACGCATCAAAATATTTTAATATTCTACTCTAATGTTTGTTCTTTTATTTACAGTTATTATATTAATTTTTATAAAAGTAGGTTGAAGTAAATTTTAAGGCAATTTAAATATACTGGATTAAAATTTAGCATGCAAATTTATATGGAAGTAACTAATTATTGTAGCTTTTGAAAAATGATAAATTTTATAAAACCTTAAAATTAATTAAATTTTAAATTTTAATTCACTAAAAAAAACTTTTCTAACAATTAGGTTATCATCTTTCTTTTAGATAATATTTGTTGTAATATTTGGGTCACATTATAATTGGGACTGCCAGTAAAATATAGTTAAAGAGTTGACCAGGGTTGGCACAAGTCTGCTATCTAATCATTAGTTCTGTAGTCTGTATTAACCCATCAACGACGAGAACATATTATTTGATTACAATGGTTTCTTGTTGTTGATGGGTTAATATCCAGTTAAGTGTCGTTTATTTATTAAAAATATAAGTTAACTAAATTAAATTTTCAAAGAATGTATTAATTAATTTAAATTATTTAAGAAATACCTGATTATTGCCAGTATCAGCTAAAAAATCTTGCATAATTTCACTTTCAGCTATAACACGAACTGCGCATACTTTTTCCAAGTACAACTCTAAACCTCGTCTTCTTGAATCTAATTGTTGTTCACTCAATCTTTTTTTAAACAAATTAAGATAAAATTAGACAATGTAATGAAAAATAATAATACAATACAGAAATATACTTACGTAAAAGGCCATTTTCCAGGAAGTTTTGGAAAATTGTACCCGATAAACTCTCTTTTTAAATTAACATGCAAGTTGGAAAATTCACTGTAGCGTTTAGAGCATAAATGGCGACCAGCCATGTATATATTAAACACCTGAAATAAAACATTATTATAGCAAAGAGCTGATTAGCAGAGACTTAATTATTTTATTATTACTGATAAAATTAATATGTAATAATATTACAACACACATTTAGATTTTTATATAATTTTTTTTAGCAGAATAATATTAACTTCAAAGAACAGAAATTGTTTGACTTTTGTGTATAATAAAATTAATAGTCTAAAAAAGAGGGACCAAATACCAACATGCACAATTGACAGCTCGATCCTGACCATAGGAGGTCTCTTTCTATAAGCAGAAGGCTGTCTAAAGATAGAGTCTGTGATTACTCTCCCTGTTATAGCAAAATATAATTTTGGCTAACTAGAGACCGAACTAGTCGACTTCTGGTCAACAGTGACCATAGGCGCAATTTAAAAAAAAAAAAGGGCGCTTAAGCTCTGCATTTTTTATATATTTAAATTTAATTTAAAATGAATGAGGTTAATGTCTTTTTGGAGCAAGGATGTTGTTTATCAATTTAACATTTAACACTTGTTTGTTAGCATTTTTATTTTATAACAAAAAATAATAAAAATGTATGCAATATTACAATTTACAGGTATTTTATACAAGAGTTATACGCTTTGCTTATTTTGCAAATGTGTCAATAACGTTGTTTATGTTAATTAAATGTGTCATATCTTTTTCTATTTATAATATTGGCAAATCTGTACGTCTGTTCTGTCTCATTAAAACCCTAAGCCAAATCTTTTTTTTTTTTTAAAGCAGTAACGAGCGTTCACAAAATGCTGAACTAATGGGGAGAGTGATATCCACATGAAAGTGATAAATAATACTTAATAATAAGTACTGTTATCAACTATGCAAAAAGCTTTTGGTTTTTTTAATATTAAACATTTTATAAGCAAAAGTTTAGTACATAAACAGGAAAAATATTAGAGGGGCATTTTTTTAAAATTGGGGGATGCTAATACCCACTAAGCTCCCCCTTAATTGTACCTATGACAGTGACATATGAAAATAAATTAAATAATTAATGCAACAAAAAAACTACCTGTAACTCTTGATTAGTTGCACTTTGATCCCCAGAGACCAAATAAGAACTAAATAGCAATAGCCCTATTTTCTATCTTAGTTGTAGTTTTCTGAGGGAAATTTAAAATTCAAAATAGGTACTAGATATTTAAAGTATGTTGCCCGGGGTATGTACACTAAGAGAGATTTCACTGTAAATTGTTTTTAATAGAAGACATTCATATTATTTTAGATATTAAACTAATAAGTCAGTATACTTATTCAAGATGATAACATTATACAATATTTATATTTCCCTATAATAATATAAATTTAAATGTCTACAACATCATAAATAATTTATTAACATATTCTTACCACAAACTTTTCACCATCCTTATCAGTTACATGATAATCTGGAATAGAAATGGGTAATGATCTTTTATCACTATAATCTATATAGTTGTAAGTAGATTGATCTTCACTAGGTTCTAGTCTTTCCGCCTCCTAAAATATAAAATTAATTTGTCTAGCATTTATTGTTATTGATAATTTAAATAGCATACCCAAATATAAAAAATATGTAAATTCTAATGACATCACAACATAATTATAATTTAGAACACTTTTAAACTCTAATTAATTTGAATTGTTTGTTCTTTAAGGGTCAACATTAAATAAATAACAAATTTGACATTTTTTTTTTGATATAAACACGCATTTTAAATCAATCAAAATGTTATAAAATATTATTTGTTAAACTAAATGCTTTTAGTAGTTATATTATTCATAAGAATAATATTATTTTACTATAATAAGACTTTGTCTAGAATGTCAATAGAATTACATGTAATAATTATTATACCTATATACCCATAAAGTGTATCGGTATATTTATATAAACATACGTAATAAGAAACAAAATTACCTGAGGAGTAACAGATATGACTGTTAATGTTAAAACATCTCCTCCAGATTTAATCAGATCAACAACTTGCTTATGGGTTGATCCTTCTACATTTACATTGTTCCTGTAATTATCATATGTGATATATTATATTACGCATAGATTGAAAAAAATAAAACTACTTACACTTCAAGTATTCTATCTCCTTTGCGTATTCCCGCATCATAAGCGGCACCTCCTTCTAGCACTGCACTTACATGCTGTAAAGGAGCGTATAGCTGACCATTGATACTTTTTAGTTGTCCGCCCTCACTGACTTGGCCGCGAACATTAAAGCCAAAACCAGTGACGCTCTTAGTAATTGTAACTTCTCGTGGGCCTATAGGGATTTTCGACGACATGTTCTGTTAGTACTCCATCACCTAGAATTATGCAAACATCAAACATGTGACAAATAACATAAGGATAAAAGTTATTTTCATTTATTTTGAAAATCGCTGATGAGCAATGAACCTTATCACTTGATTGTCGTTATCAACATTATCAGTAAAAGGAAAGCTGAAATATGATAAACACGAATCTCGATCGTAAAGCAATACAAATTTTACTGTTTAAACTTTAAGCTAAAAATAAGTATCAATTGGTAAGCTTAAGCTTAAAAAAAAGAGAATTAATAAAAAATGTAAGGACCAATTATGTAAAAGAAGATGTTTTTAATATACATTTTTCAAACAAATTTAAATAAATTAAAAATGTTTTTCTTCACTCTTATAGGTATACTCCTTAAATAATAATATTACTTAGTAAACCCGAATAAAACACATTTAACGACCGTCGGGTGTCAAAATCCTAACAAACATTATTTTACTTCAATTACCAAAAGGATATTAGTATGAAAATAGTATTATTTTACGCTATAGAATATAGATAGATATTAGGTAAGCTAAGGTTATATACAATAGAAATTATAACTCATTGTTGAACGCTGGTGACTTGTAAAAATAACCCTACGTTATAGGTACTAATCCTTTACATATTAAGAAAACATATGGCATTTTGCCACCTGCACTACCGTGTTTTACGATTCTGTTTAAAATATAGTTTAAGATTGACAATTTATAATACTTTGATATTTTTAGACATAAAATACACTTACGCAAATAAATCATTACCAATAATTTCAAAATACCTATTCATTATAACTTATGAGAAAATTCTAAGTGCCCTGTAATTAATACATTGCAAAATTACACATACCTATATTATAATTTATAGCGTTTCCTAGATAATAACAACGCAAAAGTACGTGTTTTTTAATATGCGTGTAATGTAATAATTTTTAGTTCTTATAAACCTAAAAGATGATGTACTACTAAAATTTCAAATGATACGTACCTGATACAGGTACTATATTTTGTTGTAAGCTATTAATTCAAGATTATTTTTGACCTAATAAATAAATAATAATAATAAATTAAACAGTTTACTCAAGAAAATGGTAAACATATTGTAGGTAGGTACCTACATAAATGTATTTATTTAATATTTATCAGAGAAATATAATTTAGATAGATTTTATTTTATTTTTAATTAAAAATAATAGTTACAGCATTATTGTCCAGTACAGCAGTACCTATATATAATAAGGCTATTACTTATTACTTTTGTGGCTGTTATTAATCAGAACAACAACAATTTTGATTGCAGAAAACTGAAATGAAATATTGTAGTGAGATAAAGTAACAGCTACTAATAGACAATTTAGTAGTAAGTATCTAGCAAATGTTGTTCCTAGAATAACACGAACGACCGACCAAATGTCATTACTATCTATTGATACACGTATACCGTATAAAGTAGTATATATATATAGATATTAAGACATAATAGAACTCTACGGTACATTCAACTGCACTGGGAAAGTAGTGCACTCACACAATTATGCTATATAACGCGACACGCGTGCAATGCGTATTTAAGAAGAAGGGGCGAAATTACTGTTTTAAGACACCCACCCTATTTTGTGATAGAACCACGGATAAAAATAATAATTGAACCGAAGATGACTAACTAAAAAAGTATTATTTTCCTCGTTCAAATAAGAGCATAAGAATGATTTAAGTAAAATTATAATTATAAACTTGGGTAAGGGAACTACAATAAAATACAATATACTATTTACAATATACCACAAAGTAGTTAAATATTAAGCTTATCGAGGATAAAAACATTACGTAGGTACGAATTTTTAGAATTTCAAAAATTTTTCTTTCGGTAATCGATTTTCAATAAATTGTTTACAAAATATATTATACCTACTTAAATAAGTCATTAGTTGTATATGTATTAATATTGAGAATTTATAAGTAAATAAATTAACTAGAATAAAACAATTTTGCGAATTCGCCTCTTGCAGAAAATCCTAATTTTACAGCCACGTTCCTTAATTGTATCGTTAAGTTAATCTGTAAAAGTAAAACTATAGGACATAGGTAACTATAGGCTATACAGCTTGGCTACAGGCAAACGTTCACACACAGAATACTTAGTAAAAAGACAAAAACATAATCTGTTACCTAAACAGTAACAAATTAGGTACTGTTAAACTTTTAAAACTTAAATGGGAACGTGTACATTTAGTTAACTTTTTAAATAAAGAATAATTTGCTGAAAATGTTGACTGGTCGATAACCAGTTTTGAATAATTATTTTTAAAGTTGGTAAACTTTAAAATTTAGGACGGTGGCGAGAGTAGTGTAGTAATGTTTATATCTGCGCCGTCACCCTATCGCACTCCACCTCCCGTTCTAAATTTTAAGCTTTAATAGCTTAAAAAAAGTATCCAAAACTGGTTAATATTCTTAATTTAAAAAGTTAATTAAATATAATATGTTCCCATTTATGTTCCGAAAGTTAATAGTGCTGTCGAAAAAATTGAAAAAGATAAAAATTGAATATTGTTTAACATTTTAAAACAACATAAATTATAGTGTCTCCAAAAGGATAACTATACAATTTTAATTTTTTTTAGAGAAAATAAGAGTTTTATTCTAAATGAATAACCCTGCATATTGGAAGTACTAAAATCCAAAATATATCCCAAACTAATTTAAAATTTGAAACTATTTTGACTATTTTTCGTAATGTTATTATGGCATAATTTTTAATTGATAAATGTTTAAGATGCTTTTTCTCACTTCTATGGAAATAGGTGATTATTTTCAACGTTTGGCCTAAAAAAGTGTATTTGGTAGTACAATTTCTTATGTATGTAATGCAGTCCAGTGGTTAGTCGTTTTCTTAAACGGCGAAAGATAATCGTCCGAAATGCCTAGGGCAATGGTAAAAAGATGTTTTGATATCTGATTCATTTTTCAGATTTAAAGTACATTAACTTTTGCAAACGTTTGACGTTTTCTGTTGCAAAATATTCCAGATTATCTATCAATACGTAAATAAAATAACTATACTTTAACTATCAGGATCGACAGCAGAACCAAGTTATAGTTTTAGGAAGTTCTTAAAACCCAATAACACCAAAATGTATTTTCTATAATAACGCCTTAAAACTCATATTTAAAAAAAAAACATGAATAAAACAAAAATGTTTATATAGAACAATCAACAAAGAAATTAAAAATAATAAGCCTGGTGGCTCCTGATTAACAATTTTTTGGGAGGCCCCGGGAGTAGGCTGCATATTTTAGCAAATTGCTGGAACGGATTCTAAATGCGGCTTTGCATTTAGAAGTAAAATTCCTCTCAATTATTTTGGCGAATTAGACTAGTATTATAGTATATTAAGGGGATTACATGCTGTCTGTTTTTTTATGTTTTATACCAAAAAGCCAGACAACATTTCGACTACTTAGAATGGTACGAATTACATTCTGTAAAAATATACGAGTTCTTTGGCAACTTTACTAAGTTACGTAGGAAACATTTTTTGCTTCTATTACGAAAAAAAATTCAGTTTTAGTATTGAACAAATTTAAAATTAAATTCATTTAATTACAAGAAACTGACATTTTTAAATGAAAATCGGCTTCTTACATAGTAAAGTAGCCAAAGAACTCGAATCTCTTTACAGAATTGAAATTAGATCATCTTATGTAGTCGAAATTTTGCCTGGCTTTTTGGTCTGAAATATACCTAAATGGCTTTACTCATAGGAAAAAATTATTTTAATTAAAAATAATACCTTGAAGCTTATACAAATTAACCGTTAAATTGATTGACATGGTCGAAGTTTGTTAAAACCTCCTTTTTGTTAAATTTTGCCTATACAAAACTCCTTAAAAACAGACCACATGCAATCCCTTTAAGCGCGTTTCAACGAAATTTGTTGGAGTCTAAACAATATCATATATTTTTTTGTTATAGCGTGTAGTTATAATTTTAAACATGTCAAATAATTCATTTAAACTGTTTTTTATTAAAATTGTACACCTATTTATGTAAAATTACAAATAATAATGCTTAATTTGCATTATTGACATAAGTTAAAGCACCAGCTACCAATAATATTAGTATGTTTTATAATAATATCCATACGAAAAATAGGTATGTTAACCTATTTTTTTGCATAAAATTGCCTAAAAATAAATATTTTACCTTTTCTTAATACTGTTTCCGTTTTGAAACTATAATAATTGTTAAAATAATTATAGTGTTCAATAATAGCATATAAACAGAATAACTGTTGTAAAATCCAAATCATTCTTGTTCCGCTTATATTCTAAAATGTTCTACTTAATTGTGTCGATGTTTTGAAGTGCTCACTGCTCACTACAGAATACAATTCAAATTTATTTTAGCGCGTTTTGCGTCGATATTATATTTAAGAGCACTTGAAAAAATGTTTTCGACAATAAAACCGGATGGATCGTAAAATATGTTGACCCTAACATATAGTATCTATGTTCAGGTACCTACAGAGTAATACACCTTTTGTAAGCCAGTTTATATTTTGTTTGTATGTAATTATTAATTGTCCGGCGTTTATTTACACGGACATCACTCTTTATATACTTTTGGTAAAATGTCGAGACCTACATGATTTTTACCTGATGTGATGTTTATTTTGAGTCGTATGTCATCCACACGCTTTCACTTTCACCTTCGACATATGCGGATCAGAAACTAAATTCCAAGAAAAATAACTGATTTTATTATTTAAATGTAAGTAGGCCTCTATATAGGTATATAGAATATAAAACAGTTATTCTTCGTGCAATATCTCATTTATCTACTGTATATTACAAAGATAATTACATGCTAATTGTTAAAAGTATATAATTATTCATCTGTCAGAGCATAACTAAGAGCCACTAAGCTGATAAAAGAAAAAAATATATTTAAAAATAAAAATTTTAGTTTTTAGTGCATAGTCTCATAACACAGAGCACTCGGATAAAATTGAATAAGATATTACATATTTTGATACAAATTTGTATATTTTATATGTACAATATATTTAATATTATAATATTGACTTAAGTAATTTTATAAATATTATATTTATATGTTAAACAATACCTATGTATATCTCAACTAGTTAATATTAATTTATAATCTGATATAAATATTGTAAATTATAATAAGGTCCTTGATTAGTACCAAGGTATTAGTCCTTGATGTTTTTAATATTAATACATTTTAATTCACGAATTAATTATATATCAAGGTTTGTATCGTTAAGTTATTTTATATAATCTAATCTAATGATGTTGTCTCATTAAATTAAAAAATTAAAACTAAGTATTCTTAATTTATAATCGCCTTGTCTTTTAATAAATAAATACCTTAAGTACAATAAAAAAAAATGTGTATAAAATAAGATCAGTTTTAATTTTTAAACACTGACCAGAAAACATAAATACTGTCAACAAATCTCTAATGTTCTTGGGCTATTTATTACAAAATACTTGTAACGTTAAAACGTTGGCGAAACACAAAACGCAGAAAAAAATGAAAAATGGGTACGATTACAAACATAGTTTACTATAACTTTCAGACTTCAAAAAATATACATTATATACTTTTCTAATGGAAGGAAGTAAATAAATTCAAATTTCCAATTGAAAATATGACTAAACTTGTGTAGGTGATGTTTTTCTTCATACCAAATTTGTCCATTATATAAAATACAATCAGCAAGTTTAATGAACATATGAAATATGTATTCTGAAACTATTTGAATAGTTAAACTTGTGCGTTTATGAAAATATTTAAATAAATTGTTGTAAAAAAATTGTCCCAACAGTTTCGAGCTGGTTCATTTCAAGACGACCACCGCTACACGGTGTCGTCGTCTCGTATAACCAGTTTTTTTATTCCAATTATTATTATGAGTTATGACTGTAGTTAAAAGCCGAGATCGATTTTCTTTGGTACCGTCAAACCGAAGACCGGCATAAAAGAAAGAAGAACGCGTGTAAGGACGGAGTAGGTAACGACATAAAATCCAGCAGCCGGCAGGGTGTATAGGCTATAGTATTATAAAGCTATGCCCGTTCATACGCTTAGGTACTTCGGGTGTCCGCCGACCGCGTGGTGCATACATTCTGGTCACCGGAGTCCGGACGGGTCGGGTAAACCGTAATAAAAATGAATTATAATACAGTGTGAAGGCTGTGGTGGAGGTGGCGATTGTGGAATAACAATAAAGAGAGGAAAAAAGGCAGTTTTGCTATTGAGAGATCAATAACGCATCGAGCGGGTTGGGTAGGAGGAAGGGCAGACCGGTAGAGCCAAGTTACCGCGGTTATGGGCGTCACGGACGTTGTAACGGCGGCGCGCTTGCAATGTCTCTGACATCGGCCGATTGATGTTTTCGTTCGGAATTCCTGTCTGCCTCCGTCCTTGTCTAACTAAATATAGCGCCTATATATACAGCGGAGATCGTCGTCGTACGCGGTATCTTCACGCGCATAATGCATTATCGTTTCATCTCCGTCTGATTCCCGTCGTTTAGTGTGTGCGTGCATGCGCGTGTGTGTGTATGTGTGTCTGTGTGTGTGTATTATTGTTTTTTTTTCTATCGTTCCTTCCACTCTTTTATATACGTCCAAATATCATATAGGTTCATGTATATTTTGTATTTATAATATTTTAACAATACATATATATGTTTATCGTGCGTGCGTGTGCGTATGTGCGCGTATAATAGCGACCGTCGCGTTTTTCGCCTATACGAATATTTTTTAAAATTATTATTGTATTTTATTTATTTTTGTATTCATGGACCGCAAACAATAATAATAGGCGAATTGCTCGTCTAAAAAAAAAAAAATTATTATATCGGACGGCAATTGTGGCCACCGCTGTCGATTATACCGTTTACATGTCCGTTCGTCGTTTACCTTAGGATTTTACCATTTAGCATCGATTGAGTAGATCGGCTATCGCGTGTACCCGTTACGGCGGCGGCCCAGAACATCATCAGCACAGCCGCCGTCGCTGCGATATGGCGTAGGCAGTCAATGTCCAGTGTTCATATTTTACTTACTATTGTCTGTGGTCCCCTCAATTGGGACATCGTCGCAAATAGTCGTGAGTACTGCCCGAAAGTAAATTTTCATCTATTGTTGTTATTGTTCTTTAATTGGCATATTGGTCCAGAGCTTCGATTTGATCTAGTTGCTCGTCTTATCTCTTTAACCAATGTAGGTGTCTATTTAAAAAAATAATTCAGTTTTCAAATTATATATTTATAGGTATGTATAATATTTATTTTTTACACAGACTCCAGGTGATGCTGTGATGCATTTGGTTCTTAGAGCGTAGTGTTATAGCAATGAGCCACAATATGGGCGGCATGGCCCCTTACGTGACGTAAGTATATTAATTCTAAACGCTTTTAGATGGTGTCCAATGCATCTGTAGTTCTAAATCAAATGTTCATTTTCCAAGTAGGTTACCTAGAGGCCGCAATCAAATGCCGTACTACAACCAATGTCAGGACATGCCACCACACATGCAACGAGGTCCATGCTACCCGGACGATTATAACAAAATGGGTGGACCGTGCTCGTACGTATTACTTACCATTTACTTATGTTATCCCAAAATTTGTGTTATCTATACTAAAAGTAGTGATTTAATTTGTCTAATATACAATATTCCAACTGAAGAATGACGCTAAAGGAAATTGCTGTTCTGTTCTAGAAAACACTTGATTAAAAAGTTATTTAATTATTCATTTAAGATTATGATTGGAAGTGAATAACATTAAAATTGTAGCCACATTGTACAGATTTATTTACAAATGTATTGTCCAAATTTCAACTAGAAGTTTTATTTGATTTTATATTAGTAGAGAACTAAACAAGTTAAAGAACTGACCTCTCATATTATAAGCCTTGGTTCTACCACTGATGACAATTCGTTTTCAATTATGTGTAGCCTAAACTAAATATGATATTTTCGAATAAAATAATTAAAGATGTTCATAACACCGCAAATATAAAATACTTACAATATTATTATATGAAAACTATTAACTTATAGGATAAATAATATTTATTGTTGAGTAGGTTGTATAATGTGTAAGAATAGTAAATATTATACAACAGTACTGAAAATTAGGTATTTAAAAAATCAACATTATTTAGATACTTATTTTGAGTGAAAAAATGTCTAAATATCTAACGTTTGATATCGCAACCTATTCAATAATTAGATATATTAGGTTTATTAATTTATATCAATTTGTTATCACTTATTTGTATAGTAGGTATATAAAAAAATTTATAAATGCAAATGCTGAAGGGGGCGATCACCCTAGCGCTATACTTGAAGTCAACAAATAAGTGGCTTTCTTATTATTTTATTTATTAGGTATGTAAAAATAAAAAGTGTCTGCTGAATAAGTTATTAAAAAGTCAAAACTAAATGTAAACATTAACAAAAGATTTACAAAATTCAAAAACTAAATTATTTTAAAATATTTATTTTTTTAGCACTGTTTTTTTAATCTTCCTATATTTCTTTTTAGTATTGGTTTAAGAATAACGCATTTTTTTCAAGACTTAAAAATATTATTATCTAGTGTTTTTTTTTGTAAAACTGTATTTAAAAAATCCTCTAAAAGTGGTACATATATTTTTATAATCTTAATATTTAATATTCTTATATGCTATATTACTATAGAATTGGTACGGTATTTAAAATGAACATAGCTTATATACATTATAACCCTCTCAATATGTCTTGAAATTGTTCGCCGTCTACCCATTACTTTTACATGATCTTAGTACTTGGATCGGTCCAAGTACCAAGATTATTATCTTGACAGATTAGCGAATGAAAAAAATTCACAATTTGTTACAGTTACTTTATAAAAATATTTTATTTATGTTGCTAATTGAAATTTTTAATGACTAATGAATGAAGGGTATTGACTGATTATATAATTGAAATAAAAAAATTAAGTTTTGATAATAATATCAATATTTTTGTTTTTAGAAATTATTGGAAAGAAAACTATGATCTTGCCTTATGTAGTTACCTCATAGTTCTCTAAAGTATTCAGCATATACTTTTAATTTTTAATTATATTAAGTGAAAAACAATTTGATTTTTTAAACTAAACATTTTTAAACACCAATTATTTAAATTGGTTTATATATTTTATTTCTTACAATTTGTGCTATTCTTATTATTTCTTATAGTTGAAATCATTCTTCAGATTTAAAATATGACTAAAAAACAGTATGGTATATCAAGGATATAATACAAATTATTTGTAAAATTAATAATATCTAACCAAATTTTATTGTATTAAATTCTAAATTATTAATATTTAATTAATATAAAATGATTAAAATTAAAGGTTCATTTATTGATCTTATGTTGTATTTTACAGGATGTTGCCTATGGGCAATGAGTTTAAATCTCCAATGATGAATCCAGATCCACCACCACCTCCGGCTAAGAAGAAAAGAAGAACTTCTAACGCAGCAACTGTGACAAATCACGCACCTCAGCCACCACCACCATCACCTCAAGATCTATTGCCACCTCCTTTAACGGGTAAGTACTTTTACATGAATTAATGATTATTTTATTTAAGTTCCTATAAACTAATAACAATTTTAGTTTGATTGGAGATTTACAACTATTTAGACAATAGTTTCTTATTTAGCAATTACAAATAAGCAGTATTCTTTATAAAAACTGAAACCAATTTTGTGTGGGTTTGTGGCTGTAAAAGATAAATATAGCTTAAACAGATAAACTATAGAATCCATGTCATACCCAGTCGGTATAGATTTAAATAAGAAATTTTAATTTTTTAAGAATTTAAATCTGTAATGACTTCACTAGGGGACTTAAATTTTCATTTAGAGTATTATTTAAGACCCTCCCCCTTAAATATAAAAAATGATACTTTTGAAAATAGATTCATGTTATTAATTTAAGTAAAACTATAATCATTTTTTATAGCTTCAATGCAAAACTAAGAAGGTATTGGTTTTACTTTTATATGTCTTTTTTTGTTTGTTGGAGTACTATAATAATTTAATTTGTATTACACAAATATTAATGTTGTTTTGTTTAGGTTATGGCGATACAATTGTTGCATCGAACCCATTTGATGACACTCCACCTCCAATCATGAACACCAATCACATGAACAGGCAAATGATGAACTCTCGGCCCATGATGTCTGGAAGTCCGTGCCAAATGGGTGGCTCACCTATGAACTGCGGCCCACCAATGGGTAGCCCAATGGGAGGTCCTTGCAGCAATAGTCCACATAGAAATTCTATGGTGTGTGGACCGCCAATGATGAATTGTGGTGCACCGGGTAATAGTCCTCACGCCATGTCGATGAACCGCAGTCCATCCGCAATGGGTAGTCCACACATGGTACCAAATATGCGCGGCAACAGCCCTATGGAATGTGCAGCTATGGTAAAGCCATCATTAAATTGTGCATCACCAATGGGCAGCCCTGTCCCACCTAATACTAGTATGAACATACATCCTCCAATGTCTAGTCCCATGACATTGGGGCCTTCGCCAATTAATGGACATCCTAATTCAGGACCAGGCGGTAGTCCTATGATGATGGGCAGGGGAGGCCCCTCACCTTTAACAAATAGCCCTATGTCTATGAATATGCCTGTGGGTTCAACTGACCTAAATGACATGAATCAACATATGTCCATGGATAATAATGGATGCTCAATTCGAGGACCGTGTCCGGGATCTAATAATATGCCATCAGTTTCCATGGCGTGTAGACCACCTATGTCGAATCAGCAGTGCAATAGTATGCCTGGACCTAGTAATATGATGAACTGTCCAAGAGGTATGCCATGTCCTCAAATGATGAGGGGACCACCTCAATCTTCTGATCAACATAGACTTATGCCTCCTATGATGCATCATTCTCAAATACCTAATAGTCAACCAGGTGGCTATGGTCCTGGTCCTAGTTCTAAGCCAATGCCAGTGTCAGCTGGAAAGGTAAATAGTTCAATTTAAATGTATGGCGTTCAACACCAAAGTTTCCACCTAAACATTCGAAACGGGATGGCTTTTGACGAATGTCACAAACCCCCACTGATCTATAACGCATCAGCGAGGGTTTCCATCTTTTCACTCAGTTTATAATCCCCGTCTTACTCTAAAATTGACATATTTTATAGTAAAAAAGTCAAGTTTTCCATCTATCCACAATTCAAAAATATCAAAATGGTCGCAAGTGTCAAAAACTGCAAAAATATTTTTCAAATTAATTTTTTTCAAGTTAAAAATGGTTTGACATAATTTCAAATATTTGTGTTGTAAACTACGAAAAATATGCTAAGGAACTCGTTGTTCTTAAATCCTAAGCGACCAGTTTTTATTTGTGTAATAATTAAAAGAAAAAGGGAGGACGTGAAAAAAGTTAAAACTTTTGAATTTTTAGGTGGGAACACTTGGTGTGGAATACCCAATTTACAAAAACAATAGTGTGAAAGGTTTCAAAAGAAAGTCTGGTCTGAAAGGATTCAAATGTTAAATAATTTATTATACACATTTATTTATAATTAAATATTTAATGAGCCGTCAAGAGTAAAAGTGGTGCAAGTTACGAAAGTCAAAAGTTGAGAAATCAATTGTTAATGTAGAAAAGCTGTATACGTTTTTATGAGAATGTATAAGTTTCTTTGCCATTTAACAAGCAAAGCAGAATTTGCATCACTTTCGCAGGCAATAAATTGAAGGTTAACATATTGGTTGGTGCTATTACTTCAGATTGTGTGAAAACTTGATTTGCACTACTTTTGTTTTTGATAGCTCAAATAAGCTTGTTAAATGCAAATTATAGTTTAATTATTTATACTTGTAACTAAACTGTTTTGTATACCTATTTTATTTATTTTAATAATATATATATTTTTTAGATTTATCCTCATGATCAACCAATGGTCTTCAATCCACAAAATCCCAATGCACCACCTATATATCCCTGTGGTAATTGTCATAAAGAAGTTCATGACAATGATCAAGCTGTGTTATGTGAATCTGGCTGTAATTTTTGGTTCCATAGGTAAATTATTTATTAGCATTAATGTAATTGTTTTTATACAGGGTGATTCAAAAAGAATAAAACGATTCCATGATGAAATATTTTGTGAGTAAATGTATGAATCAAAATGAAGGAGTGGCTGTTTGAAAGATTAGGTTTCTAAGTTTCAAATGGTTGCTACGTGACCGCGCTAGGTGCATCGGTCTCCTAAAGAAACCTTTTCTGTGTTGTATCCTGCACCAAGGTTTATGGCCCATTTCTCATTGAGGGAAACTCTGTTATACCTAATCTTTCAAACAGCCACTCCCTCATTCTGATTTATTTACTTACAAAATATTTAATCATGGAATCGATTCATTCTTTTTGAATCGCCCTGTATAGTTCATAATAATATAGATTTTAGCCTATTGGTAATATAACACTTTTCTTATGTAGAATTATATAAGTTTTACGAGACGCAGAAAATCTTATCCCACAAATACATTATTTAAAAAAAATTACAACTTAAATTAAGTTCTGCCATTTATTGGACAATTATTATTTAGGTTTGGGTCAATTTAATTTTTGAAATATTTAATTATTCTAAAATGTTAATTGTAATAAAACCAAATTAAACTTTTGGTGGGTTAAGCTTTTTTAGTGGTAGCGCTGCTTCATATATATGTATATTTGGCTGTTTAGAAAATGATTTTATTTTACAAAATAATACATATGTATAATATTTCAAATCAATAATCTAGCATAAACTCATAATAAATATGAAAATATGTTTAATAATTACAGACCCACCTTGTACCCAAATCCCTCTTCCCACCTCATAAAGGATTTTGGGCGAAATTTGTGTTCCACGGTTATATAAAGAAAAATTTTTATTATAGGATTTGCACCGGTCTGATGGAACCTGCTTTTCAACTGCTTACAGCCGAAGTATATGCTGAGTGGGTATGTGATAAGTGTCTGCAGACTAAGAACATACCTTTGGTCAAATACAAACCGTAACGATCATCTTTAAATGCCTCTCAGCTACTACTTTTCTCTCCAGACAGGCTAGTATCAGCGGTCGCAGCGCTTTAGCCGGTGATAAAGTACTTAATCTCATGTACCAGCATCAATACAAATACTTATTTATTATTATTCATGTATGAATTATATGAAATCAAAAACGTACTCTTTTTTTTTTTTTTTTTTTTTATTGAGCTACTGTCAGTTTTATTATTATTTTTATTTTAAATATATATTATATATATATATGATTTTTTTTTAATTATGTAGCAATATATGGCTCGACATTACGTATGTGTGAAGAACAGAAAAAAGTAACTAGTACTTGTCAGTATTTCATTTATTTGCATATATTGAGTATGTTGTCACTTGTTTTTATTTGGCATTTATTGTCTTAAGTTCCTCCTTCGATAGTAATTTCATTGAATTGGGCCTTTATACTTTCTAATCTTTGTATCCTTATTGCCACTTATCTTCTCTATTATTTTATTTTTGTATGTTTTCCTAATTGGAAATGTTTTTAATAACAAAAACAATTATTGATGATTTATATTATATTTGTATGTATGATTATAAATTATGAACATTTTTTTTTTTAGAAAATAATTTAATAACAATCAACATTTGTAAATATTTAGTTCAATTAAAAAAACAATACCGAAAAACTTGAGAATATTATTCTAAGTAACTAATTAAAATGAAATATTTAAAATGAATTACTATATTTTGTATTTTTTTTATCATTGTCATCTAGTGTTATTTTATCACTTGACGATTAACCTTAATCCTATCCTATTATTAATAAAAATCAGTCATAATGGACAATCAATTGTACGTCGACAGACTGAAAAATAAACTAAAAAAATTGTAGGTACAAAAGCAACAAGAAAAAAATGTAATACATTGTAGTTTCAACAAATAATTATTTAGTTATAAACCTTTTTATATAATTAATAATATTACGAGCTGTAATAACTACAATGTGCAATATTTATTTTAAATAATATTTTTCTTTAACAACACATGTAAGAAATATATAATACACCAATGTAAGTAATTACCTACTCCATAAATCAAAACAAATAATAGACTGAATACTTAAATCTAGCCAGGTTGACACACATATAAATGTTTTCCCTATTCAACCAGATTTCACAACTCATTTAGTCATTGTACCAGTCTAAAAAGAGAAGAGTAAATGAAAGTACTAAGATAAAAAATAATATATACACCCTAAGACCAGCGTTAGTTTGTATAGCCGATCGTATTTCAGTATTGGCATCGACTATGTTTTCTGTAGTGTTTGCAGCGACTGCATCTATCCGTTCAATATCCTGATCTTGTTCTAGTATTTTCTCTGTAAACAACTCTTGTAGTTCAGCAATTCTAACAGCTTTGGACTCAATATTTCTGACCTAGGAAATACTGTTATTAGTATTCTGAAACAATAGGAAAATAGTTACTGAATTATTTACCTCGTTAGAAAGTTGATTTAGCTCATTGTACATTTCTATATTTTCAGCTTCAAACATTTGTAACTCTTCTGGCGATAGCTCTTCTTCTATATGGTTAGTACACAGACGATCAGCTGCTTCGTATTTAACTGCCATGGGTTTTTTTATTTCTTTTGAAGTGTCTGAACTATGAGCCAATTTACTCAATTTTAAGCTGTTATCATATTCTATACATCTTTGTGCTCTAGTAGTTTTCATTTCGGCAAATAACTTTGATACAGACTTGAGTCGCCATTCCACATAACGCACAATCTGTGTTCTGTGATCATTAATTTGACCATTATTACTGTCCAATTCTTTCTTGAGTACATATATTTGTTGGCCACACGTTTTGATTATGTGCTGAGCACCAATATCAATTTTGTCACGGTCCGCGTCCGTCAGTGGCGTATGTTGATCGAATGACGTAACATTAATGTAATCCCTAAAATGACGATCTAAAAAGTCCTTTAACTTTACTAAATCATTTACTATATCCTTGGCTCTTCGAGAAAAATCATCACGCCGCGGCTTACGCTGTCGCAATATATCAACTTGTGGAGCAGGCGAGCCAAATGCTCTATTCCTGGTTTTAATAGTTTTCACATAAGCCTTAAAAACTGCAGTCTTATCCATAATAACTGGTAGTTCCTTAAAAACTATTCGAATTTCGTGACGTTTGTGGTTTGTTAAATTATTTTTATCACTTTATGTTTTTGCCAGCTTATCAAATTGATAATACAATTTTGATAACAGATTATGATAACTCACAGATATATATAATAAACTAGATTGCTAACTAGCGATAAGAATTGAAGCCGACGGTCCGCCATTCTGGTGGGATTTATGTGTGTTATCAATGCATATAATATATATCTGTATATATTATTATATCAATAATATATAAATGTGATTGTTATAAACATATATTATTCTCGCGTGATAAGGTTCTAATTCCCACCAGGATGGCGGAAAGTGGCTGCATCAATCTTCTCTATTGGTGGTATATACAGTTAGCAATCTAGTTTATTATATATATCTGTGTGATAACTATAGTTCTTATCAATGGAATATGGATTAGAGACCGTTCAGGTGGACACATCTGCAACGCAAGCTATTCATACCATAAGAATTAAGAAATGGAAATCATTTGAAAATGTAAAATTTACCAAATTGTAGTTTATAATTTGTAGTTTTAAAAAATTGATTAGCGTATAACTTTTGTACCAATCAAGATGTTTGATTTATGTATAAAAAATGTTTTTTAAGTTTTACAAAGATCCTGACCCAACAATCACAACAACTTAATCATTTTTATAATCAGTCAATTCAATTTTTTTAAATTAACCAGAGAACCTAGGGTATCATTTTATTTTTTGTTAACATACAATGAATTCTGAATTCATGATATCAATATTTTATTTATTTTTGTTTCGTGTTATAGATTAGAAAATATTCCGTATTCGATGTGGCCTAGACTTAAAACAATTTAACCAGTGGCGTATATAGGGGGGTGGGTGGGGGTTCAAACTCCTCCTGAAATTTGTGATTGGTACGGCACATGTGCAATTCATTTAATCTATGCATAAACTAAAATCCAACGGGCAGGCGTATAAGAAAATATATATATTGATATATTTTTAAATTACATTTTTTCATGTTTTAAGATATTTGTCAATGTGTGCGTGTAGTATTATTATTACCATCGGGATTTTTATAAAATTAGATAACGACGGACCGTCGTAAATTATTTAACCGTTTTCAAATAAATACGACACATTATTTTAGAGCTTATAAAAATAGTTTTTTTTATTAATGCTTTTATTAAAAACTTACAATCTGTAAAAAAGTTTTACCATAAGTATTTTTTTTTAATATTATCAATAATATGTATGGTTTGTTTTTTATTTAGTTGAATTTAAAACGTCTAATTTAATGACGTGTTGTACAGTAAATTTATGACACAGTACATTGTTTAAAAAATATGAGAATATTTAAGTATATATAGTAGTTACTAGTTTATTATTGGTCTATTATTATAACAAATCCAAATAAGAAATGGACTATTACTTACATTAAGATATTTTATCAATTAATATTTTGTAAATACATTTCTTGAAAGTCTGATCACACCAGAGTGTTTTGAAATTTCCTTTTGTAATCTGTATTTTCACAATCAATTTTAACTGGCCGACTATTTTTAAGTACAGTTGATAACCTTTTAAATCGTACTTCTACGTTTCGGGGGTTTTTGTAAAATGTTATACCCTGTGTTACTACTATTTTAACTTTTAAGGTACAATTGAGGTAGAATAAGCTGCTGGACATTTAATATTTTTTTAATTCATGTCAAATGTTTTAGATTTTTGTCTTCTTATGCTATGTCTTTTACAATAATGTAGTTATGAAATGTATTAATTATTAATATAATCCCCAAAAACACATATAGAGAAAATAACTCATGCGGCAGTACGATGGTTAATCGGTCCATTGAAATAAAACAATATAATATGTAAAACACTGGAATGTATTCAAGTGTAAAGCCAGGATGTAACTTTGTGAAGTCACCGTTGCCTGCACACGTGAGTCGTGAACATATGTTACCAATGCGTCGTTTTAATTGGTGTTTTTCAACGGTTTTTTTTCTGTCGACCAGTACATTGCGCTGTCATAAGTTTCACCGGTGTAAACAAATTATCTATTCAAAACGCCTTGGCAAAAAATTCAAAAACCGTTTAATTCTGTAGAATTTTACAAACAAATTTTTTTTTAAAAAAAGGCATTTTTTCCCTAACCCAACCTAATTTGTTTATATGGTTTACGTTCTATTAACCGCTGAACCAATTTCTTCGTGTAGCAACTATAGATCAGTAATCGTATCTGAAATGTACTTCATAAGGCCGAAAAATTAAAAAATTATCTTTTCCCTATCAAAATCGAGAAAACACCCAAAAATGTCCATATTTTTCAACTTAATAATATGGCGCTCTGTATTTTTTTAAAAAATAGTCGAATTCGTCCGTTGAATATAACACATGGTGTCTATAAAAAAAAATATAATATAATGAGTAATAATATAATAAGTAATAATTAATATAATGATTATTTTAATCGTAATCAAATATCGAAAAAAAAAATTAAAATACCAATGCCTTAAGACATTGTTTACTATTTAATTAGATTTGTATGAAATAGTATTTAGGCATAGTACTGCCAATAAACGTAGATAAACCAAAAACATATCATTAACTCTTTCATAGGGAAAAACCTTATTTATTTCAATTTTTCCATCAAAGGTTTAGGAACTTAGGTCTGAAAATTAGACTGAAGGTAGATCTGTGATGGAACTATAACAAATACAACTTTCTAAAAATCTGTATTTAAATTTTTTTTGAAAATCCCCAAAAAAAAGGCGAAAATTACATTAAAACTGCTTTGCGCGGGAAAAGTATGTGAGGTTAGTATTAACAGTAGATTTACCAAATTTTCACAATGTATAGAGAAAAACTATCTATGGGGTAGCGTTTTTATTTTTTTTGATATATTTTATACTTAATATTTTGTTTATAAGCAAATGGGAAAAAGGAAAACAAAATTAATTTTCACGAATGAATAATTATGATTGTGCTTAAGCTATCAAAGAACTAAAAATGCCACGTCGTAGAAAAAGTTGTTCTATCCATTGTAAAAAATGTATAAGGTAACTTATACACAGTAATGTATGCTGTAAATACTAAATACCACTAAGTACTAAATTCTGGTCCCCCACAAACCCTTTTTTTGCGAATAAATTACGGGTGGGTAGTGTCCTCTTTAAGATTTATGGAGTTGAGCGTATATTCTTGCGAAAATAAAAAAGTCACGGTAACAACATTTCACATAATCAGTCAGAATTCGCTGATAACACAAACCAATACTTAAGTCAAACATTTTAGTACATTATTCTTTATCACTATTTTTGCTAACCCAACCTAACTTAGCAAAATTTGTTTTAACATTCTCGGGGTAAAACAAATTATAACGTCATTCGGTATAACGTTCTCGGAGCAAATCAATTTAAAACTTTATTCGGTATAACGTTCTCGGGGAAAAAAATTGTTATAACGTTATTTGTTATAACGTTCTCGGACCAAAAAAATGTAAAACGTTATTCATTATAACGAAATAATTGACTTTATAACGTTACGGAACCCTGGTTTTTTCCAATCTGAACCTCCACTTAAGGCTTCTACGTCTTTCCATCTTACACGACGTCTTCCCAGTGGCCTCCTGTTGAATTCTTTTCTAATACTATGCGCAGCAAGGGATTCTGGCTACGCCAAGCATGTCCATTGTCCGCCCACTATAGTCTGTACATATGTTGGGTCTATGGAAAATTAATTCTAGTTCATTATTTGTTCTTATTCTTCACTAATTATTATTGGTATTCTTCATTGGTCCATAAATCTTCCTTTGAAATTTCCTCTCCATGACTCAGTTTTCTTTTATCTTCCTTTCGTCGTTGCCACGCTCCGCTCCATTTGTGATAACCGGACGTAATAATGTGTTTTATATGTAGCTGTATATTCAGGTCACTCGATAAAGATCTAAATTCAAGCAATTTGGCAAGTCCATATGAACATTTATTTGCGAAAATTTGCTGATATTTCCTTTTATATATTTTTTTTCAATTAATACTGATCTCAAGTATGTAAACTGCTTGGTTACGTTGAAAACATACTACTAATAGTTTCCTATTTTCAGGGAGGCGTATGTACCCGCAGTTTCCTTTCTGCCTACGACCATGTACTCCGTTTTGGTTTTATTTATCTATAGTCGTACCTACGACGCCATTATTTGTATTCGGCCGAACAGTAATTTTACTGCAATCCATGATTATTGATTCATCCATGAGTACCAAATCATAGCAATGCATATGATCAATAACGACGTTTATACATATCTCTCTGTCTTCTTTATCTTCGCCTCACACTCCTAACTACATGGAGTCGGCCACCCTAGTCCTAAACCTCCATAGAGCTCGGTTTTTTACATCTCGTTTAATAACCCTTGCTTCCATCATATCACTCTGTATTCCGTCCACCCATCTTTTCTTAAGTCTTCCTCGTTTTCCCTCTACATTTATCTTCATAATACCTCTCACTACCTCTGCCTCATCTCTTCTCATAACATGACCGAACCATCTCAACCTATTCTCTAACCTCTTATTTTCTCCACAATTGATGCAACTCCTAGACTGCCCCTTGTGTATTAATTTCTTATTCTATCTTCTCTAGTCACTCCACTCATCCATCTTAACATTCTCATCTCCGCTACACTCATTCTCTGTTCCATTTTCTTATCTACTGCCCAACATTCTGACCCATATAACATTGCTGGCCTCACTACCTACCTATAAAATTTACCTTCAATCTTATAGGCATGCTTCTGTCACACAAAACACCCGACGCTTCCTTCCATTTCATCCATCCACAATTAATTATATTTTTCACATCCTCCTCGTACCCACCATTTTTCTGTACCACCGATCCTAAGTACTTAAACCTATCAACGTCACACACTTAATCATCACCCATCTGCTGCATTACCTGTCTTACCCTATAACCTTCTCCAAAATCAAACACGATTGTCTCCATTTACGCCTACTAATCCTCAGTCCTTTCCCTTTAAGCGCTTCTCTCCACTCTTCAAGTCTCTCACTCAAGTCTTCC